CCCCAAGCTTCCATTCAATCCTACAGGCTCGGCTCTAAACGAAGGCCCAGTGGCAGCTTTACGACCTTTCAGGAATAAAAGCCAAAGCAACTAATCCAGCCCTCCCACCACCATTGTCCCTTTTAAACCCACAAAGGACTTTGACTCTGCAGCATGTCCGGTACAAACAGCCAACTCTCCTCTGAAGTACCATCCCCCCGCCTACATCCAAGGCAACGTCAACAAGGTCCATTTCCTAGAAAGATACTGTAGTAGGGACATGTAAGATACTTGAATCAATACCTAGAAAAACAAGGCAAATGACAGTGAAAGAGCAACACCTTTATATCAGAAGGAGATGAAATAAAGACACAAGTAGGGGGATAAAGAGGTTAAAAGAAAGATGGGAAAAGAAAGAGACAGTTATAAGGATTCCAGTATTGATCTGAGCTTCTATTTCCAATCTCTGTAACCTTAGCTGGATTGGACATCAAAGCAATTTGACCCCCACAGCTGCCCCCACGGGTCACCCTTTAGTGACTGCTGACTCCAGGTTGCCATAGTGACAGAAGAATTATGTCTAGGCTCTGTTTGGACGGGTTTAAGAGACTTGGATCTGTGCCCAGCACCCGATTGCTTTTAATCACGGGCACTATAAAAACGCTGCAGCAGAGCATTATTGCTTTTTTGCTTTTGTTCTATTGTTGTTATTCTTCTGGGTATTGTTTTATGTTTTTATGTTTTTTTGAGAAGAGGAAGAAACATTAGGTCTGTCACATCCCTCAGTTGAATTTCAAGTTTGTGCATCATCATAATATAAATGCCAATGTGGAACTGTCTGTCCGTAAAGCCATCCACCATTTTGTTCCAGATTGAAATATCTGAAAGGCATCATGGATTGCATGGATTGCCATGAAATTGTGTACATGTCGGTGAAAAAGAGAATGATTCCTAATCAGATGCTGCTCACTTAAAAAGGCTTTTGATACTGTGAACCATACTATACTGCTACACAAATTAGAACATTATGGCATAAGGGGTCAAGCCAAAGAATGGGTTAAGAGTTATCTGATAAATAGGCTACAATATGTGGATATAGACGAGGCGAAATCAAACAATCTTCCTATAACATGTGGAGTCCCTCAAGGATCAATTTTAGGTCCAAAACTGTTCCTGATTTATATTAATGACATAATCAACACCTCCGACATGTTAAAATTCATTTTGTTTGCCGATGATACCACCATTCTCTGCTCCCATCATAATCTTGGTGATCTTGTTAAAATTGTTAATGCAGAATTAGAAATACTATGTAACTGGTTTGCAGTTAATAAATTATCCCTTAATGTGGCCAAAACAAATTACATGTTATTCAATACAAAGTCTGAGAGTAGAAATGACTGTATTATACGGATTTGCAATACTGAGATAGAGAAAGTTGGTGCATGTACATTTTTAGGACTCATTGTTGATGAAAAACTCAACTGGAAGGTATTTTGTATCGTACTAAGAACATTCTCGAGGAAAAAATACTCAGAACTCTTTATAACAGTCTATTTCTCCCTTACCTTTATTACTGCTCCGAAATATGGGGAAACACGTACTCAACAAATCTACAAAAAATAATAACATCTCAAAAAAAGTATTACGAATAGTCTGTGGTGTTGGTAAATATGAACACACAACTCCCATATTTAAAAAACTCAATCTATTCAAATGTGTTGATATAGTTAAGCTTAAAAGATTACTGATTATGCACAACATTTTCCATAACAAAATGCCTACTAACATTCAAAAGCAGTTCCAAACCACAGTCAGGAAATACCCAACTAGGCATCCTAACTGGTTGTGTAGCAAGCCCTGTAGAACAACCATCAAATCACACAGCTTATCCATAATCGGAGTTAGAACGTGGAATGGACTTCACCCAGACCTTTCAAGTATCACTAGTCATCAACAATTCAAAATTAAAGTAAAAACAATTCTATTTGCAGATTACTCCAGCTAACAAGTATTGGATATTCCCAGTATTATTTATATATGCATTTACTTTTTTCTTGCCCTAACTTTTATTTTATTTTTTTCCAGTTTTCATTAGTTTTCTTTATTTCTTTGTACTCCTTAATTTCTATACGTTTTTGACGAAATAAATGCCATTGTTACTGTATATTGATGCTTATGATGATGCACGGGAGGGCTACTCCCCATAAGCTATGCTTCAGCCCTCCCACTTCTACTAATTTTGTTCATTTGTGTGTATGAATTATACGTTTTTGTTTTTGTATGATTTTAGTAGAATAAATAAATTTAAAAATAAATTTAAAAAACTTACCAAATTGTCAAAAGTGTGGTTACAAAGAACTTATTGATTGTATTTAAAGTCCCCACTTTTGTATCTTTAGGTGTGTTAAGTGATATACTAAAGGATCACAATGAACTGAGTTTATGGCTTCATTATTGTCATTCTATTTTTGACGTAATCACTGTAGTGCAGTGTTAGATGTGTTTTAATCAAGTAAAATCAATCAATCAATAAATGGTTCCCAGAGGATATACTGCTATTACTTTGGTGATTGCTTGGATTTAACTCTTCCGCTAACATGGGGTTCTGTCTCTGATTTTTGATGGGAATTAGTTTTAGTACAGACAATAATATTCTGCTCAATATGAATTTTAATCATTTTGGTGACTATTTTATTTGACCTCTTATGTTTAGCATTTCTGAAACATTGCTTTGTGACTAAATACCCTCAAAACATATGACATCAGCCGTTCCCATTAGCCTCAGCTGCCAATTTGTTAGCTTGCTGACATTAGCTCAAAGCTATACGCTGTGTCTAATGCTGCCTTGAAATGAAGGCTAGCAACATTTTGCAAGCTAGAAAGTAAAGCAATACAGGAAATGCTATGGCAAAATAACAAAACAAAAAGACTAGGCCGTTGGGATGTTTCAACATTTTTCTTCAGATATATTTTAAAAACTCAATTTACCAACAACCAAATAATGAACTTCCATGGCCTCCCACCATTTTTGAAAACGTCGTCAAACATGTCAGGTAGCTTTCAGAAAATGTCCACTATACAGGTTGTGAATACCTAAAGAGGGGGTCATACTTATGGAGTCATGTGAACGCAGTAAAAAAAATGCCTATTTTAAGGCAGCATAGGTACAGCTTCACTGTACAGCCTACAGAGCCGCTAGCATCTCTGTAGGCTGTAACCTCATAATCTTGTTAGGAACTTTTTAACAGATGGTGCCCCTTAGCAGTCATTGGATTGTGTTTTTGAGGAGAGGAAGATACATTTAGGTAGTTTATGACCTTGGGTTGACTTGATTTACTGGCCTGTGAATGATTTATGTCACATGGTTGCAGGGAAACACCTACTGTAGCTATGTGCAACCACATAAATAATCCCCAAGGCTTCCCTCATTTGCGTGTTTCTTGTCAGCCACCATTACACGTAAAGCATAAGAGGCAAGAGAGTGGCACAGGGAATAACAGGGACAGGTGGGTAACGGAATGAACGGAAACATGCAAAAATCACAATGCACATTCTGCTCCCTCAGGTTCCCCCCCTGTGGATGTATCACGGCTCGAAATTCAGCAAGTCAATCATGTGTGCAGTAGCTCCACTGCCAAAAAACAGCACATTTTCCTCAGCTGCAGTGTCTTTTACACCTTTTTTCTCAGAAACGTTGGCGTATAGCTGCCTCCACATGCCTCACAATGTGTCTCAGCTGTTGAAAACGCCGCATCATGATGCAAATGTATTCCGGCACCAGCTGCTGTGTCAAGATGATTCGGCAAAAGACATCCTTGAAAGTTTTAATGAGCTTACCTCAAGTAATGAGGACACTCAGGTCACGCAAGTCAAGATGTGTGCTTGCTTGGGCGTGTGTATCAGTGTCTTTTCATATTATATGCGCATGCATTTATGTCTGTTTTGACATTCAGCATTTAAACACACTCTGTGGGAGGCATCTGAGTAGGTAACAACTCATTATCTCCTCATGTCAAGCAAGAAAATGACGCAGCAGGGGCACACACACTCACACTGTGATAGTATGCAGGTCAGTAATGTGTGAGGGGAGATTGGACTTTGTATTTGTTGAATAACATCACATTTCAGGACCAAATTAATAGATTTGCAGAAAAGCAAGCGGGTTAAAAGACTTAAGCCCTTACAGATTTGCCACAAACTGAAACCGGGCATTCTGAACAAGCAAACAATCACCGAACTCTGTTACCATACACAGTGACGTGACAAAAACTCTGCCTGGATTGAACAAAAAACATGATTTAGGATAATAAATTAAAACAAAGAACCCTTCAAATATGACTACAAACTCATGTGATGATCATAACCTGATTTAGTTTCAGTTTGGAAGTCAGAGTAAAGCATCTGCTGATCTCACAACAGGGCTGAGCTGCCTCACCTCTCAACTACCTCAACACTAATCGATGCAATTACAATGTCAGCAGCTGGCAGACTAGAAGGTGGGAATCAAAGTAAATGGATTGTTTCAGATTGTGTGGGGAAGGAGGAGGGGGAGAACTCCCCTCTCTCTGCTGACTCAGGCATAAATAGGGAAGGAGTGTCACAACTCCAGACTTCAACATTTGGATATAATCCAGAATGAACTTTCTTTTTTGCTTTATTTTTGGTCTCCACCAACTCTTGAGGGAAAATCCGGCTCTTTTATCTGCTAAATAGTCCACCATGTTCCTCAGCATTTTTCAAACTGCTGCTAGGCACAGTGGTGTTTTCAGAGAAGATTCACTAAGAAAACCAAAAAGATGAGTATTAAAACCCCCACTTGAATGTTACATAGAGATACATCACTCATAGGATCCTTTGTTAATATAAACATTTTGATTACGGCAACTTTCATTGAAATACTGAATCATTTGCACAGATTCACAATTTCTTAGTCCCACTCCCAACCCTAAACCTCAAAATGATCCTTCATTCCCATTTATTAACTTCAAGGAAAACAATTAATTTTCTGTACAGTGCTTTTATTTATTAATTCTTCAGTGTTAAAAAATGTACAATTTGTATAAACATTATTATTATTAATAAAGTAACTGAAACTTAACCTGTGTGGCCACAAAGGGAATGCACTTGGGATAACTGTTCAGTCATGGCAACAAAATGAATTATACGTTTTAGCTCCTTCACCAACTGAAATCTGTCTTATTTCCAAAAAGAAGGTCCCTTTTGTCCAACACAAACACAGAAATATGGAATAAATATTTCGGGGAAGAATCCGTGGAACATAAACAACCATTTAGTGGAGGAAAATCTGTGCAAGCTTGTGAAGGATATTAAGGACATTCAAAATTCTATAGGAACCTGCCACATGGAAGTAAATCTTTATATATTGGTCCTACAGTTAACAGGCAAAGTCTTCTTTAAAACAAGTGTAGAAAAGCACTTAGTGAAAACTAATTGCTATCAAGGTTCCCTTCAAATCTATAATAGCTTTCAAGGGGCAGAACAAAGGATTTGTCGATACTGCTTCAATTATTATGAGCAAATCCATTCCTCCTGACCCTGCGGCCGAGGGTTATTGTTGTTGTGTTGGCACAAATCGCCCATTAAAAGGGTCCATTAAAGAAGTGTCCCAACCGTGGATAAATCTCCTAATGTCCACAGCGTCAATAAAGAGTTCATCTCCTCCTGTTCTTATTGTGCTTCACCATCTTCTTCCTCTTGAGAATCATCTCGTAAAGTTTCTCCAGGCCCTGTTGGAGCCCCTCACCATCCACAGCGCTGCAGCTCTGCACGTGATGCAGCGTGTACATGCTCAGTTCGTGGACAGAAAGCATCTTCTCCACTTCGCTGACGGACAAGGCTGACTCCTGGTCCTGCTTGTTGGCCAGGATTAGCACGGGGACCCCCTGGTTCTCCGACGTGCGGGTGATCTTGTGGAGCTCCACTTTGGCCTCCTCCATCCGCTCCACCTCAGTAGAGTCCACTACAAACACCAGGCCATCTGTCCGTCGGGTGTAAGACTTCCACAGGGGGCGCAGTTTCTCCTGGCCGCCAACATCCCACACCTGGAAGTTTATTGTCCGGGACGTCCCAACGGCCACCTTGATCTTCTCCGTGTTGAAGCCCTTGGTGGGGATGGTCTTCACGAACTCCTTCAGTTTGAGCCGGTAGAGCAGAGAGGTTTTTCCGGCCGAGTCCAGCCCGATAACAACCACGTGCAGGGACTGGAAGTTTGGCAGGAAGGACGTGTTAGGAGCGATATCAGTCAGCTGGTTTCCCATGGTTGCAGCCAGCAGATCACACCTACTTAGCGTCAGGTGACAGATTCCTGATTTAATCCTGTTTTAGTAGAGTGGCATTTGCTCCTGGTCCTCAAGAGGCAGACGGGATCAGATTGGGCTGGAGACCTTATCAAAACACAAACAGAGTTAATTTTTAATGAGAAGACAATGGGGGCTTCAGGAATGTCAATCATACCAAAGGGATTTTACAATAGATAGTGATGATTATCAGTAGATGTGAATTCATCCCAAAGTGTTTCCTGCTGAGTTCACGCCTGAGATTTATCACTTTAAGCCAATACTATTTATTCAATTCATGTCTGCACACTTTTAAATGTGATTATACAAAACAATAAATGCTTTAGCCACATTACAGAGCCAAACAACAGCTAATTGGCTGGCTGGGGTTTCCTGGAGCCTAAATCCTCTTACCGCTGCTAAACCTGAGAGGCTTTTCTTCAAGGCAGATTGATTTCAATGCAGTACATGGATAAGTATTCACTGTGTCTATGAGGACTGCTGCAGCAGCACTAATCCGGTTGTTGTTGACATCCTGATACCCATCAAACATCTGCCAGGAATTGTTTGTTTGTTTAGGATATATTTATTATATTTATTATTGACGAGCAGGCGAATTCTAATGCTGCATATTATTAGAAGAGTATCATTCAAGTATTATTGATTATAGAGGCTAAACTGCTCATTCATGTTGGTGAGTCGATGTTTTATGACTTTTTCTTTTTACATTATTATGTTGGGAATAAGCCACCGTCTTCCTCTCCAGCACGAAAACACCTAATTTATATTGCATGATGTTAACATAGTATTTTAAGTGTACGAACCCAAATAAATTACACCATTTAAAAATGTCCTACTATGCACAGAGCTTGAAATATAAACTTTAAGAGATAACCAGACTCAATTAAAGCTCAAAAATATAAAAATGCATGAGGGTTACACATCAGAAATAATTTAATCCCTAATATTAGATCCTGTCCTCGTTAATGTATGTTTAAAATAAACGTACCTCTTTATATGTGCAGCAAAAACATCATCCACAAGCAATAAACACGTCCATGGTGAAAAGATTATGTTTGTCCCGGCGGAAACATCCGCTCCTGTTCTCCTGCAGCAGCACTGAACAGCTCGAGAGGCACGAGAGCTCACAGCACCTAAAGCCCCGCTGACGTCACGGCCACCTAGAGAGATGCGCCCCGCCCCCTGCAGGTACAGCGGTTAACTGCAGGTTCTCTAGTGGCACAAGCAAAATAGATTTTTACCAACTAAATACAACAATTACAGCAGAATGGTTAAATGTAATATCATTTAATTATTTATACTGATGCAGGCATGCAAGTTGAAGTTGATTTTAATTATTTAGATTGCTATTGTTTAGGGATATTTTATAATTTGTGTTTGGTATCTTCATCTAGAATGTCAGATCCATAAAGTAAAAGTTGCAATATTTACTTTCAGCAGCACATTTTACTAAGGAAATTGCATATTTATGACTGAATTGCCTCATTTAATGGCAGCTCTACATGTTAACTTACCATAGCCTGTCTACACCGTCAGCTTACAAAGCGTTGGCTCCACCCTGTGTCCACGATCAAGATCTCCAAGAGCAACATTTGGGTCTTGTTTTTTTAGTTTTCTATACATTAACATTATATTGGTTGTCAAATAAAAACAGATTCTAACAGACAGAATCTTAAATGCCAAAGTTTAATGCAGTGCAAATTACATAAGTCACGATTATCATAGGTGATATCATACAAAATATGGCATCGTTTTCCCAAAACATTGTGAATCAGTTAAAATGTTAAGAAACAAACACATCGTCATACAAAATCCACATTTGTCACATTTTATATTGTGCTTTTACACAAATGTAGGACACCCCTTATAGAACACATAATAGAAAAATAATTGTTTTAAGTTGTACAGAAGTGTATTTTAAGCATCAATATGTTTCTATTGTAATATTGAAGTGAATGATTGAAGTCTTATTAAGGCATGCTAAAACAACATACATAAATGGATACGTGTTTTAATGTAACCAAGCACATTTTTCTCACTGTTTGCTAGAGGAATTTAAGTACACGTTGTTGCTAATACTTGATCTCTACTCAAGTACAATGTTGAATGCAGGACTGTTTTCATTGGTGGTTTCCTGAATCACTGGATAAGATGCATTTTCACAGTAGTTATCATTCACAAAGTCACATCCCCGAAGAAGATGAAAAAGGTGCAATGTAGCAATATTCATTATTTCACACTCCCACATTGGTGGTTTCCATTTGATCTCATCATCTCACGGGATGAGGGATTGTTGAGTTGGTGCCACAGTCAATATACTCATAGGTGTCCAGAGACAGCTGCTCAATGTGAGAGAGATAGGAAATATTCAGTGTCATTCTGGGGAGAAAAGAAAAATAATATTTTAAAGCTGAACCAATCAATATTTATTGGATCAATGGTTGAAATAACGATGCGCTGCATAGTGTTTCAGTGTCTTTTAGCACCTTGTTTTGGTTTTCAACTTACAAAAAGAGCCAGATATTTTTCTAGTTTGTTGAGACCAAAACGTAATTTTTTTAAGGCAAGGCAAGGCAAGGCAAGGCAAGTTTATTTATATAGCACCTTTCAACACAAGGCAATACAAAGTGCTTTACAAAAATGAAAGACATTAAGAAAATGGCATTTAAAAACCGTCATTAAAAAGCAAGATAATAAAATAAACATTAAAAGAAAAAAATACATGGATAAAAGTTACAGTGCAGTTTAAGATGTGAATAGTTCAATTAAAAACAGCGGCAAAAAGAAAAGTCTTCAGCCTGGATTTAAAAGTAGTCAGAGTTGCAGCGGACCGGCAGGTTTCTGGGAGTTTGTTCCAGATATTTGGAGCATAATAACTGAGCGCTGCTTCTCCATGTTTAGTTCTGACTCTGGGGACAGAAAGCTGACCAGTCCCTGAAGACCTGAGAGTTCTGGATGGTTCATAATTCAGCAGTAGGTCAGACATGTATTTTGGGCCTAAACCATTCAAAGTTTTATAAACCAGCAGCAATATTTTTGAAATCAATTCTTTGACACACAGGAAGCCAGTGTAAGGACTTCAGAACAGGGGTGATGTGATCCACTTTCTTAGTGTTAGTGAGGACTCGAGCAGCAGCGTTCTGAATCAGCAGCAGCTTTCTAATAGATCTTTTAGTGAGGCCTGTAATGACACCATTGCAGTAGTCGAGTCTACTGAAGATAAAAGCATGGTTTTCCAAATCCTGCTGTGACATTAGTCTTTTAATCCTCGATATATTCTTAAGGTGATAGTAGGCTGATTTAGTAATTGTTTTAATGTGACTGTTGAAACTCAGGTCAGAGTCCATGACTACACCTAGATTTCTGGCTTTATCTGTTGTTTTGAACATTGCAGACTGAAGCTCAGCGCTAACTTTTATGCGTTCTGCCTTGGCTCCAAAAACCATTACCTCAGTTTTATCTTTGTTTAATTGGAGAAAGTTCTGACACATCCAGTCATTCATTTGTTCAATGCACTTACTCAGTGTTTGAATTGGAGCATAGTCTCCTGGTGAAATGGTTACGTAAAATTGTGTGTCATCCGCATAGCTATGGTAACTTATTTTGTTGTTTTTCATTATCTGAGCCAGTGGTAGCATGTAGATGTTAAAGAGAAGAGGCCCCAAGATGGAGCCTTGAGGAACCCCACATGTCATATTTGTCAACTCAGATGTGTGTTACCTATAGAAACAAATTTTTTCTGTCCTTTAAGTAGGATTCAAACCAATTTAGAACTGTTGCCGAAAGTCCCACCCAGTTTTCCAGTCGGTCTAGTAATATGTTGTGGTCAACAGTGTCAAACGCAGCGCTGAGGTCTAATAATACTAACACTGAAGTTCTGCCACTGTCTGTGTTTTAAGTGGATGTCATTGAAGACCTTTACAAGAGCAGTCTCAGTGCTGTGGTTTGGACGAAAGCCTGACTGGAACACATCCAAACAGTTATTTAAATGCAAGAAATTACTCAACTGTTGAAAAACAACTTTTTCAATGATTTTACCTAGAAATGGCAGGTTTGATATTGGCCTGTAATTGTTCATTACTGAAGCATCTAGATTATTATTTTTTAAGAGCGGTTTAATGACTGCAGTTTTCAGGGCCTGTGGAAAAACACCTGAGTGAAGAGACTTGTTTACTATGTGAAGTAGATCTGAGGCCGTGCAATGAAAAACATCTTTGAAAAATCCTGTTGGAATAATATCAAGGCAGCAGGAGGAGTCAGATGTTGTATAATATCCTCTAGGTTTTTATCATTAATCTGATGGAATTGTGTCATGATGTCTGAATTGATTTTAGGTGGACACAGGGACAACACATTTGCTGTACCTGATACAGAGGCACTGACTGCTTGTCTAATTTTCTGAATTTTGTCAGTGAAGAAGGAGGCAAAATCATTGCACGCCCTGGTGGATAGAAATGTCGTGCATTTTTCAATTCCATAAAATTATAAAAGCCAAGTCTCTCTTTATAGATTTCAAAATGAACCTGGAGATTTGTTTTTCGCCACCTACGTTCAGCTTTTCGACACTCTCTTTTTTCTGTTTTCACGGTCATGGCCTTTGTCCATGAAGATATTTTCTTGCAAGACACTTCCTTTATCTTAGTTGGAGCAATGGCATCTATAACATTTTGAATTTTTGAATTAAAATGATCTACTAGCTCATTTACTGAGATGTTAGCAGGGGCAAGTGTGGAAGAAAAATTATTTTGAACATTTTTGTGAACAGAAATAGAGCCCTCAAAGAAGACACAGGAATGATCAGAGAGTGCAACATCAGTCACCACAACCTTAGAGATATTCAGACCCTTTGAGATAATTAAGTCCAGAGTGTGCCCCTTATTGTGCGTGGGCTCCGCCACATGCTGGGTCAGTCCATAGTTATCAAGAACACAAAACAGTTCTTTAGCCCCTCTGTCCTGGGGGTTGTCAACATGGATGTTAAAATCACCAACAATGACTGGACGGTCAAAGTCAATACACACTATAGACAGCAGTTCAGTAAAGTCATCAAAAAAGCTTGCATAGTATTTGGGTCTATAGTTCCTAAATATCTATAGATATTTAGGATATATCTATAGATATTTAGGAACAGAGCTCGAGAGGAGCATTTCAGCTGAAGGGCCACATATTCAAAAGAAGCAAAGTTCCCATAAGATGTCTTCCTGCATTGAAGGGAATCATTGAACGCAATAGCAACTCCACCTCCTTTCTTATGCATTCTTTCCTGACTCATAAAACTAAAGTTGGGAGGGGTTGATTCGATAAGAACAGCTGCACTGTTATTTTGTTCAATCCAAGTGTCCGTTAAAAACATAAAATCGAGATTGTGCTCAGTGATAAAATCATTGATTAAAAATGTTTTTCCTGGCAAAGATCTGACATTTAATAAAGCTAGTTTAAGTTTGTTAAATACACTATCAGTCAGATTTTTTGTGACAAGCTGTGGCTGACATGGAATCACTGCTAAATTTGATAAACTCACACAAACGTTTGAGCGCTTCCTGTTTCTAAGCTGATTCACCGATCTTAATCTATTACCTATCAACAGGTACATGAATTTACATGAATGCTTGTTTGCAATAACAACTTCATAAGGTTATAATATGTCGATGTTTTCAGATTGTTCAACTGCCCTTAATAGCCAGAAATACATGAATGCTGTTTTAAATGTTATCACAATGACAAAGTTCGATTGATCACTTTTCCCTGCGGTAAAACCTGTTAAATTATCTTTTTAGAGGCCTTTTAGAGTTTTTGTATGGCCAATGAAAGCTGCCAAAGTTTGACTTTAGTGTGTCTGTCTTATCATCTCTTCCCCTTTTATCTCCAAATCAAATGTCTCATTGAAAGATTAACCCTTTATATAAAAAGAGAACCAGTGTGTGGCTGTGATTGTGACCATGCTTTTTACACGTAGTGGGTGTGAGAAATGCTGTGAGGCGGCTGCCTCCTCCGGTGTTTGTCAGATTGAGATTGATACTTACTGCAGCTGCAGAAATAACGTGTGAATCTTGAAAGACTTCGACTTGCAGTAAGTGCTGAA